TCCAGCACCACAGCTCAAAGGCGTCAATTCTCCTTCTGTCCTCCCTAGTCATTATCCAGCTCTCTGATGAATAACAAGGGATTGCAAAGACCATGGCCTGTATCAGGCGCACCTTCGTCTCCAAAGAGACACCGTTGCTCTTGAGTACTTTAGAGAGGTCCCTAACAGCAGACTTTCCCATCGCGATACGCTTTTTGATTTCCTGGCTGCTGGTGCCAAGAGTGTTGACTGTGGAGCCGAGCAAACCGAAGCTGTGAACACTCTCAATCTCTTCGCCATCCATCCTGATGCTACCAGTTGGTCCAGTGGTGAGAATCTTTGTCTTCTGGACATTGAGCCTCAGTCCATACTGAAGGCTGAAGTCTTTGACCCTCTTCAGTAAGTGCATGAGGTCCTCCTCAGTTTCAGCGAGCAAGGTTGTGTCATCTGCATGACGCAGATTGTTGATAGATCTTCCACCAATCCTAACGCCACGCGTCTCCTCATAGAATCCAGCCTCTCGGATAAACTGCTCTGCATATAGGTTGAAAAGGTATGGAGATAGGACACATCCCTGGTGCACACCCTTCCCAATTTTGAACCATTCAGTGTTGCCCTGCTCTGTTCTGACAACTGCCTCTTAGTCCAAGTATGGGTTTTGCATTAGCACAATTAAATGTTCTGGGATTCCCATTCTTCTCGGAGTCAGCCACAGTTTGTTATGATCCACGCAGTCAAATGCCTTTGCATAATCAATGAAACACAGATAGACATTCTTCTGGTATTCTCTGCTTTCAGCTAAGATCCATCTAACATCAGCTACAATATCCCTAGTACCACGACCCCTTCTAAACTCAGCCTGGACTGCTGGCAGTTCTCTGCTGATGTGCTGTTCCAGTCGTTTTTGGATAATCTTCAGTAGAATCTTGCTTGCATGTGAAATCAATGCTATTGTTCTGTGGTTTCTACACTCAGTTGGGTCACCCTTCTTTGGGATGGGAACAAATATAGATCTCTTCCAGTCCGTTGACCAAGTGGTTGTTCTCCAGATTTCTTGGCACAGCTTGGTGAGCACATCCAGGGCAGCATCTGTTAACTGAAATATGTCAGTTGGTATACCATCTATTCCGGGGGCCTTATTTTTCCTTCAAAGCAGCTTGAACTTCTGCCTTCATCACCATGTAAGGTGTTTTCCTATTCTTTGCCGTAGCAGTTATATTTGTGATAATTAAAAAAAAAATACTCTGAGAAGATGTTCCTGGGTGACACAAGTGGTTAAGCAGTTAACCACTAACCCAGAGGTTTGCAGTTGAAACTCACCCAGAGATGCTTGGGAAGAAAAACTTGGCATTCTACTTCAGAGAGACAATCAGCTGTGGAATGGGGACAACTTGATTGGAATTGACTCAGTGGTAAATGGTTCGAATTTTGTTTTATAACTTAATTTTTAAAATGTAGCCATAAAGCTGCATGTTGGGAGAGGTAAGAACAACCTAAATGGTCGATAAATGGAAATTCAATTTTGCTGTCCGTGCTTCGAAGGACTGTTGACCCTGTGTCAGCGTAGGCCTCTGCACAGCCACGAGGCATTCTGGGCGAGCAGCTGGACTGGGTGGCATTGTTTGGCCGGCTCGTGCTTCTGTCTTGGACTTTTTTTTTACTATTAATACCAATGAATGGCCTTTCTGGAGTGTCTACCACTCCCACACATACTGATGTATGCCTCATTTCACTGACCTTCTCATCTACCTGCAGGTGGAACGTAGAGGATGCTGGGGCCTGAGAAGCTGAGAACCTTCTTGGCTGGCCACTCAGTGAATAGCCAGAGCTGGGGTTGGAGTGAGGTCTGCCTGCCCCTCAGTCCTGTGACCTTGTCACATGATAGGATCCTTCTCCAACTCCTGGTGGGGGGGGGGGAAATCTAGGCCACCTGGTCCAAACCCATTTCACAGATGGGAAAACTGAGCTAAGAAAAGGTCTCGCACACTTCTGGGGATGCCGCTGTGATCAAGACAGACAGCATCCCTCAACTTGTGGAGTTTAATTCTAGTTATGTGTGGAGGGAAGGAGCAAACACAAATAATTAATGGGGGAAACATTCAAACAAAAGTTGAAGAATGTGGTAAGGAAAGTAAAACCAGTGGATAGAGAGAGAGGCTGAGGGTGGAAGAAGCAGAGAGGTGCTGAAATTTGAATGCAAAAAACAGGAGGAAGATCAGTCCAAAAGAAGGAACTAGTGAAAAAAGCCTTGAGGTAAGAGCTAATTGAAGGACCCAAAAGGCTTAGGGAAGAGAGAGCCACTTAACGGACCATATCGTACTCCCTGGCTTAACTGCAAGTGGCCAAGGATGATTGCAGTGGAAGCCAGCCAGAACAGGAAGGTTAGTGAGTGAGCGGGAGACAATTAACAGAATTGGGCCTAAAGAGCTGAACTGGGCAGGAGAAGGTGCTGGTCTCCTTGAATAACACTTGAGTCTAAAGAGTTTCTACCAAGTATTTTGAGTGATAATGCCTGGGCAATTGTAAATTAGTAACTTGAGTCTTCCAGTAAAGCCCCAGAACAAAATAAAGAAAGTGTATTTGTAGTTGCTGAGGTGCCATTCGTGAAAGGTCAATCGCCACTGTTCACCTTCAAGGTGACCTTCAAGGTCTCCCGCAGGAGGGACTCTGTCTCTCAGGCACATGTAGCCAATGTACTCCACTGAAGCCTTGATCCAAAAACAAAAGTGCCAGTACCTTAGCTACTGCAGTCATGAATCCACCTGCCTTTGAGGGCCCAGCTTCTCCTCCTTCTTGGATTTTAGAATGGTCCTAACACCTGTGTTAGTTTTCAGATAGCAACTTTAGGAAGGATGGAGAAAGAGGGAAGGATTCCTTAGGAGACATTGCACTTAAGGTTAAGGGTGTTGGAAAATTTAGAAACAGATAATGATAATGCTTGAACACCAAGATAACATATCACTGAATTGTACTTATAAACATTTTTAAATTGGCAAAAGTTTTG